TTTAATTCAAAAAAGAATGTTATAAAAATTTAATTTATGTTTTTGAACTTTGTTTTATTCTACAGTTTGCTGCGAAGCTAAAATCTAAATGCAAAGGTCGTTCAGAACAATAAAATGTCTTTATCTAAATAACTGAGCAATTTAATTTTAAAAGCCATCAAGAAAACAATCACGTATTTAAAAAGTACACAAAAGAACAGAACGGAAATGAATGAGGAAAGTTTTTTTTTTTTGAAAATTTGATATTTAAAGCGATATATGCAAATTACAATGTCGGCGTTAAGAGTTATTTTTCAAGCCGACCCGTTTGCCAAAGAATTAAATATTTCTGTTTAGTTTTCTTTTTTTTTTAAGCATTTCATTGCAAGTAAGGCGGGTGCCACTAGCACGCAAGGGATTACAGAGAGTGGGAGTGAGAATAAGGCGAGTTAGAAAAAAGGATGAAGAGAAGGACTGGGAATAGACAAATCGATCATGGTGTGATTCGAACCTAAGTTTCGTGATCGGGACGCTAGTGCTCTAACCTCTTGGTGACAGTTTTAATTAATGTTCCGTATTTCAAGCCGACTAGCACACAAACATGGAATATGTTAATAAAGCACCTAAGAACGTTTTGGTGTGCAGTTGACCAATTCAGAAGGAAAACTGAAAGAGGTGTCAGTCGTTGAGGGCCAGTAGCAAGGAGTAATCATACATTGTAACAAAACGCAATGTATGACTGTTAGGTCAAGCTGTGACTTACATATCGTTAACGTCAAACAGGTGAAGAAATTTAACTTTCTGGGTCGTGTAATAAGACATGATGGAAAGCGGGATAAACATTAAAAAATGCACAGAAATAGCGAACGATATTTTTCAATAGCTAATAGACGAGTTGATCGAAAATGACATTAGAAATAAAGAGAAAAATGTTGGCCTAAGTAATATCTTCCCTTCTATAAAGTAATTTAGTCAGCAATTTCACTCTCCTTCCTTTGTCAATTGGGTTCAGAAAAAAAGGCTTTTCTTTAATGGGAATATGTTAAAGGAAATCGAAAATTATGCAGGTGTATGAATATTTGGGGTGGGGGTGGGTGGTAGCTACTGTTTATACGCGTGCGCGCTTGTGTTTTTTTTTTTTAATAAAACACGAATTTTGCATACTGAAAATATTTTTTTCCAATTGGCGAAATAATTTCAATTTTCAGCCCTAATGTGCGGATATTAATTAGCAGAGAAAATATTTTAAAAAGGGTTTTATTCAACATGCTTATGAAATATCGGCGTCCAAACGCAGACACACGCCTGAATATATATATAATTATTTATTTAAAAAAGGTTTATAACATAAATATATTATAAAATCACTACAAAAATAGCCATTTTATTTCAATACCCCCGGTGTTTTATCTGCTCTACTTTGTATTGAGCACTCTTTTAAGAATAGTAATTGTTGGTTATTGGAATTCATTCCGTATACACCAATCATATATATATGTGTGTGTGTGTGTGTGTGTGTGTGTGTGTGTACTCTTATCCAGATACGTTTTCGAATAAAGAAGACAGTACTGAAAAAAGAAAGAGAAAAAAAAGGCCTAAAGGCAAACTTATCTACTCAGTAAAGTGCTTGAAGCCTAGATTGCTTAAACAACAAGAAACACTTAACAACGTTAAATCCTATGAAAGGATGGCTCTCGTTGTAACCAGAGTTTCACGCTCATGCTATACAAACACGCACACCGATGCAGTCGCAAGGATTTTTAACTGTCTGAATCCATTTAAATAAGGACATCTCCTGCACATGGTATGTGATTCTGAATTCTCATAATGAAAACTATTCGGAGTCAAGTACGAGGATAAGAAATTATATATATATATATATATATATATATATATATATATATAAAATATGTGGTGCAGTTTAATTTATATTACGTGAATCAGTCATACAAAAAGTAGATTAGTAAAGTTAATGATATAAATGGCGAAAAAGAACTTTCGCAAACAAATTTATTAAAGTTGCATTAACCTACGAACCACTCGATGAATGTTATGATTCTTGTTTTTAATAACTTCAAGTTGTATAAGGTCTTTTTTTATTCTTCTAGTAAACAGTAAATAATTTCCATGACTGAGGATGGCTGAATGTACAGCCGAAAGTACTAGCAGAATAAAAAAAAAAGACTTGAAGTTATTAAATACAAGGATTATAACATTCATCGAGTGGTTCGTAGGTTAATGTAACTTTAATAAATTTGTTTACGAAGATGTTTTTCGCCATTTATATCATTAACTTTACTAATCTACGTTTTGTATGAATGATTCACGTTATATATATATATATATATATATATATATATAAGAACTTTCGGTCTGAAAATATTCACGAAATAAATTATAACTGGAATGGATCTTTAAGGTTTTTATTATTATTATTATTTATTAATATATATACAAAATAGAAGAAGAGGTGGGAGAGAACAAAGGAGGGGAGGGAGATAGAGAGTGAGTATTGCAGGGAAAACTAATAGCGGAAGTCAACGAGAGAGAGAGAGAGAGAGAGAGAGAGAGAAAGGGAAATAATACAGAATAAGAGAAAGAAAGAGAAAATTGGAAGGAATGAGAAACGGGGGGAAAATGAAAGAAAACGAGAAAGAATACGCTCAGAAGAAAGAGACAAACAACAGAACAGAAAATGGAGGGAAGAGAGGTCATAGGGTACAAGAAAGAAAGACATGAAATAGAAAATGAGAGAGTAGGGAATCTAGTCAGAAATATTCGTTGAAATTCCCTCCAAAAATATAGGTTTTTTAAGGAGGGATCTCAACCTCGTTCTTGTACGAAGTTTACCGAGCACTCGTGCTTTTGCTAGGTCTGAGAAATCACCAAAAAAGAGTTTGCCTAATAAACTAATGTCTTCGAATCAAAATTTGTTTTCAAAACGTAGACGTAAGTGTTGCTATTCTGTTTCCTTAGAATCGATGATTTCATACAATTTCCAGAATGTACGAGAACAAATAAATCTTTATCGGGATTAACTGTTGCGGCGTTACATTTAACGTGGAAAAATCGGGAAGACTCGGCAAAGTTCGGTGACGTATAGCCACTTTATGTGTTCCGGAAATTAAACAACACACTGCGTGTATGCGTGCGTGTGCAAATATTCTGATAATTGTAAAGACAATATTAATAAAAGAAAAGAGAAAAGGAATACCTCATATCAACGCATTTCGCTCTCTGAGGAATTTTACCAAGGCAAATATAGAAATTTTATTTAATAACATTTATTTTATAAAAGTAACACGGACAAAAATTAAGCGTTCAACTTTTGAATTAGAGAATGCTTTAAAATATTCGAAAATCATACGGCTAAAGGAAACATAAACAACAACAATCCTCAGAAGAAGGAATCCCACTTCTTTATTTATTTCTCGTCTCGTTGAAAAAGGGCACAGGCGTGTCCGAAAATTCCGACTAAAAATTTTTCTCTTCGTGCTTCATTTTTTTCAAAAGGCTAATATATAATAAATATTGTCTGTCTTATTACCAACATTATCATTCTGTTGGCTTTTTATTCCTCAAATTTCATCAACAGGCCTATTAAATCTACATATAAGAAGCACACGTGAACGAACTTTTGTTTTAATCCTATATATTTTAAGACATTTTTATGTTTAACATTCTTTTTATAGATAAAATATTTAAGTAAATGCTCTGTTTATAATAAACAGTATTAAACAACATTTATCGGACATTCAGTCCGATAAATGTTGTTTAATACTGTTTATTATAAACAGAGCATTTACTTAAATATTTGTATCTAAAAAAAGAATGTTAAACATAAAAATGGCTTAAAATAATTGTCGGACTTTGTCCATTTGATGATAATATATATATATATATATATATATATCTATGTGTGTGTGTGTGTGTGTGTGTGTGTGTGTGTAAGTGTGCTGAAAAGTTCTCGGTCTAACCAAGAAATTAAAAACATGTTAGCTGTTAACAAGTGGTTCGAGCCGATAGCTTTTATCACGTCACTCGTGTATGTCATGTGACGTCAAGCGTTTTAGTAGGTAAGCAACTTGAAAGTTTCAATTAAACATTTAAGCACGGAAGAGAGAAACATCAAAAAAACACCCCCCTCAAAATATACTTCCGTTTATCGTTCAGTATGCAATTTTTATCACAATTAATAATACCTTTCAGAAAACTAGTGAGCAAACCTCAAAACGAGGCAGTTTTTTATCAATTATTTTTAATCGTTTCACCCCCAAGGAAGCATTACTACCACCGTGATGCAAGGGGTTACTGAGTGTAAATGAAGATGAGAAAACTTTAGTGAGGGGAACGGACAATAAAAGAATGGATTTCGGGAAGAGAGAAGATGGCGAATAATTTTGCATTTAGATTTTTGAAGATTGTAGTTGGCAGGGAAGCAAGACGCCGGAAGTGAGTTCCACAGGCGAATATTGAAAGAGAAGAAACCATTAAAATAGAACTTACGGTTGCATCGAGCTATTTCAAGAGTAAAGCGATGAGACCTAGCAGCCAATCTAGTAATACGCTTGAAGTCATACGATAGAAGTTTCAACGAAGAAAATTCATTAGAACAATTGCCTTGGAAATATTTATAGAAATAATACAAAGAATTCCTGTTACGGTGATGGGGAAATGGAATGAAGTCGAGATGTTAGGTCAGGAGCAATATGACAGACCCTGCTTTGGATTTTGACAAGAATATTGAGATAAATAGCAGGATCACCAGACCAAATATGGCAGCAATATTCAATGCGCGGGTAAACGTGCAAAATGGATTCTGACAAGAAAAATTGTCTAGCACGGCCCAGTGAAGCAACAATAATTTCTTTGATTTCTACCCTCTCTAGTTTTTCTTTCTTTCTTTTTCGGCATATTCATGTGATTTTACTCTGTCAATTTTTACATCCTTTTCTTGGTTTTACTTTTGCGTTTTTTTCCTTCTTTTCCCCTTAATGTTGTTCTTCGTTTCCTTCTGATTAATGTTCACTTTCTTTCTTTCGACCTGTTTTCTTTGCTTTTTTAATTTATTTTTATTTTTTCTTTCTTTATCATTTTCCCCTTTTCTTTCACTGACCATCATTCATTCTTTTCCAAACAATGTTGTTTGCTTGATCTTTCACGTCTCAGTCATTTTTCTTATTCTTTCTTTCTCTCATTCTTTTCCTCTTTCTTTCTCTCTTTTTCTCATCCTTTTTCTCTTTCTTTCTCTTATTCTCTCTTTATCATTCTTTCTCTCATTCTTTTTCTCTCTCTCTCATTCTTTTTCTCTTTCTCTCTCTCAATCAAATGTTTTTTCTCTTTCTTGCCTACCATGCTCATTTCTTTTTTCTGTCTTTTCTTATCAATTATGTTCATTCGTTTGTATCCTATCTTTTCATATTAAGCGTCTTTCTTCCTTTCTTTCGCTTCTTCAAGGGGTGGGGGGTGCTGATAGGATCTGGAACCGACTCTCCACAAAATCTGACTAAAAATTAGAATTTATTTTTTCCTTTTTCAATAGCCCCCTAGTTGGTCTGAGAATTTTCAGAAACTCTCCATTCATTTTATTCTATTTTCTATATTATTTCTCTCTCTCTTTTTTTTTTGTACTTTCCCCCTCCTCCCATTTCGTGGAGGTTAGCATCAGCCATTGTAATGGGGAACACAAATGCTTCTCCAATAGGATTAAACGACTACATTTTCGCTTTGTAGGCGTTAAATTTGATTATACCATTTAAAAAAAAAAAAAAAAAAACTATCCTATTGCAGTCAAATGGCTAGAAGCAATCCGAGGAAAGAAACTCCAAGACTGACTGAAAGAGTTTGTACTGTTCTCGATTGATTTTAGCAATTATTTCTCGATTATAATACAATTTTGTCATGAACGGACCATCAGAAAGTTTAATAAAAGGAAGATACGAATTGAGAACATAAAATGATACAATAACACAAGGTCTTAAATTCATCTTTTTTTTTTAAAATCAAATAATGAATTGCCGTGAAAAGAACACTAAGTGCTACAAATTAATTATACTTAAGTGTACCAAGTAAGACACAAGGTTTATATAATAAAGCACTCATTAAGAACCTAAGTCATTAACTAGAATTTGCAAAAAGAACCAATTTATCATTCCAAAACAGCAGGCGTTTGTGGCTGTTTTAAGAATCAAAGATGATGTCTAAATACGCCCAGTCTCTAGATATAACGATCAAGTGTAATTAATGACCTTCATCACAGGAGACAAAAGGGTGTGACCATCTCACCCGCAACAAATTAGGGTAAATGACTATGAAATTGGCAAACTCTCAAAATATATCCATCTTATCTTTATGAATACGTGCTGCTAGTTTGCGCACACATATTTAAATATAAAATTAACTGCTTTCAAAATTCTGGGCAGGATTGGAAAATTTTCGAGGGATAATACAAATGTAATTAAACTGCTGTCTATCAATCTTTGTTCATTATCTGTCTATCTATGGTCATTATCTATCTATCTATCTATCTATCTCTCTGTCCATTATCTGTCTATATCCATCCATTCAGCTCTGTTCATTATCTATTTATCCATCTATATACATCCATTCATCCGTTCATTATTGATCTATCTTATTCTGTTCATTATTTATCGAGACAATGTCATATATCTGTTAGATTATGTAGAAATTTTAGGTGTAGAGCTACATCCACACCATTTTTGATTGACGAAAAATGATTATCAATAGCTTTCGAGATTTTCTCGTTCATCCATTAAATGTGGTAAGCTCTCCACTTCCGTCTTCTTCATTAGTTCCAGTCAGAATCAATTTCCTTTTTTCAACTTTATTCTTCCAAAGATTAAATACAAAATTACATTTGATTCAATTCTCATTTTTTGCAAGGACTTGTTAATCTTCCATACTTTTTGAGTAAAATTCCACAGGTTTTGAGGTGAACATCTTTTTCGATGGACATTTCTACCCGATTTTCATTAGAGACGGCTTACCCGATCAAAGTGTATTGCAGCGATTAAAAACTGCAATAATCGGTTGGCGCAAGATCTGGTGAATATAATGGGTGGGGTAGAACAGACTAACCGAAGTTCCAAACTGTTTTCCTGTGTTGTCCTTGATGCATGCGGCCTTTGCATTGTCATGAAGGAAAACAACATTTTTCCTATTGACGAACACGGGGAGAGAGGGGACTTTTTGACCAAACCTTTATGGACGCGTTGAAGCTGCTGGACGTGTAAATGTGCATTTATTATTTTATTGCGTTTGAAGACATTTAAAAGAAAAATAAACCGACGATACCACCACACGCACCTTTTTTTTTTTTTAAAAGAAAAAAGAAAAGCTTAGCTTTTGGAGTAAAGTATTTTTAATCATGAATCCAACATAATTTCCGTTTTTTGCTTATCAACTTTATTCTTAAAAAATACAATTGTATTTTATTCAATTATATATTCACCATTATTTGCAACGACTTGTTGCCACTTTATCAGGGAGAACTATCTATCT